TGGGTGAGCTCACATTCTTCCTTGGGCTACAAACTCAACAATCTGATGAAGGAACCTTCATATGTCAAACCAAATACACAAAAGAGCTGATTCAAAATTTTGGTATGAACAATGCAAAATCAATTGGCACTCCAATGAGTCCCACTACAAATCTAGACAAAGATGAACAGGCACTCGTTGATGAAACCAAATATCGGGGAATGATTGGATCACTGCTATATCTGACAACAAGTCGACCAGATATTATGTTCAGTGTATGTAAATGTGCCAGGTTTTAGTCAGCTCCTAAGGAGTCACATTTGACGGCTGTAAAGAGAATCATTCGATATCTCATTGGAATTGTATCTCATGGATTATGGTATCCTCGCTCCAACTCTTTTAAATTAGAAGGTTTTTCAGATGCTGACCTTGCAGATGATAAAGAAGATAGAAAAAGCACAAGAGGCATATGTCAATTACTAGGAAAGGCATTAATATCCTGGAATAGTAAAAAGCAAGCATCAGCCGCATTATCCACCACGGAAGCTGAATACATTGCTATTGGACAATTGTGCAGAACTACTATGGATGTCTCATCAATTGGGTGACTATGAACTCTCGTTTAAACCTATACAAATTTTTTGTGATAATTCCAGTGCTATTTGTCTTTCAAAAAATCTGGTGCATCATTCTAGAGCAAAGCATAAAGATATTAAGCATCATTTTATTAGGGATCATGTTCTTAAGGGAGAAATAGAAATATCTTTTGTTGGAACTTCTGCTCAAGTAGCTGATATTTTTACTAAACCTTTATTAGAAGTAGAGATTTTGTACATTGAGAATTTACTTTGGTATTATTTGCACTTCTAATAACTCTTAGGACCTATGTGCTCAGTTACTTTTAATTGCTATAATTGTCCTTTCCCACACCTTAATTACGCCTCCACTTTTTTCCCTCTCTTTTCTCTTCTTTCACATTAGTTCGCAGTTCGAAGATGAAAAGCCATCCATCACGTATTCTCAACTGACAACTTTTCCTTTTCTGTACTCAACTTCGTCAAAACCCTCTTCTTAAGACAGAAAACCCTTTCAATCACTCTCATCTTCATCTATTCTCCAAAAGCTTCTATCAAAGCTCCTTCTCCCAATGGCAAAACACTCCAAAATCCTTCTTGCTCCACAGGAAAGAGTACCCGTTCCAGAGCAAAATCCCTTCTGCGCCTCCTGAGCAAGTAGACCTAGATCTGATCACTTTGAAGGCTTCACCTCTTCTCAGGGAGATCTCTCTGAACACTCACCTCTTCTAGGAGAAAAGGCTTTAGGCAAGCGACCCATGGAAGAACCCCCTATTTCGTCCACTCCAAAGAAATCAAAGGTTGATTTCTTCATGCGCTCTTGAGTCTGACCTAATTTCTGGGATTCCCCAATAGGGATCTTTTTATTGCTGTAAAATACAAGCTCATCGCTCATGGGAGGGTTGTTGATCTTGATGACATGGAAGCCCTTAACTGTAAGGTCAAAGAACTTTTCGTCTATAAGGATGGGCAAAGTTCCTCTCTATTCCTCCGCCTAAGGTGTATGAATCCCTGGTCAAAATATTTTATGCCAATCTTCGTTCTAGTAAACCTGATAGGTTGGAATCTCTGGTGCTCGGTCAGCGCATTGTTCTTGATTGTGCCCTATTTGACTCACTTTTTCAGTGTCGTTGTTCAGGTTTTCCTACTTTGTTCAAAAACATCTGGCCTGATGACTTCGAAATTTCTTTTGACCAAGCCAAATGGTGTATTGCTGAGTGTCCCTCTGAAACCCTTCCAAACCAATTAGGCCCCAGTGATGTCAGTTTTGAAACACGGGTTCTGGCCCACATTGTGGCAACCACCTTGCTTCCCCGTACTGGTTCCTTTTCAACCTTCTCTCAAAGAGACACATTCTTTGTCTATTGCCTTGTAACCAAACTCAAAATCAAGCTTTCCTCCTAGGTTATCAATTTCATGATAGAAAGTGCTGAAGATCTCACTAGTTTACCCTATGGCATGGCAATCACTCATATTCTTGAAGCCCATCATATTTCCCTGTCCAACTATCCCTTCATCTCTGTCTCCAAGTCTTACAATTCTAGAACTTTTGCTAGTATGGGCTATGTAAGTATCAAGGGCTCCTGGGGTTAAGAAAGGCGAGAGTGAAGCAAAACAGGCCCCTGTAGAACCCAAAGCTTCTCCTGCTGTTCCCCCACTTAGTCTTGACAGTTCTGAGCTTAGTGACAAACTTTGTGTTATTCACGCCCAACTCTCTAACATCAAGAATCTTCTCACCGCCACTCAATCTACTGTTGGTGACATTCATGCTATTTCCAAGGAAACAGGATCTGACGTGTCCAAAATTAGAGTTGCTGTTCTCAGAGTGAGGGAGAATGCTGTCAAAGCTTTCAGGGAGATTCACGACAGGCTGGATGGTGTGAGCATTTCTGCGAATACCGGCTTTGAACAGTTAAAGGATGCCATCTGCAACACCCTTACCTATTTCCTGCGCCGCTAGTGTGGTTGTTTTTAAGACATTTTGTTTTGTTGTTGTTTGTTTTAGACAATTTGCTCTTGTGGGCTGTGTTTTAAGCCCTTGGATATTTTTTTGTTGTGCTGCTTTTGTGGGTTGCTTTACCAGCCATTGGATAATCCCTTTACCTCCTCCGTTTTAATATTATCTTATCAGGTTCTTGTCTTATTCCCTCTTTGCTGATGATAAAAAGGGGGAGAAAAATTGTATAGGTAGCCATATATATTGTACAGGTACAGTGAAGAAATAGAAGTCGAATGGTTCGTTACCTTGTCAAGTCGACTGCATACATTGAGGGGGAGTATCATGGTCTAGTCAAGTCGACTGCATACATTGAGGGGGAGTAAAACACAGGGAAGTCGACTGGTATTTACTTCTTTACATTACTATATTATTTTGCCATCATCAAAAAGGGGGAGATTGCTAGATTCTGTTTTAATGATGCAAATAATATACATGTGCAGGAAATCAATTACAAGAAGTAAAGAAGAGTCCTCAAGACTACTGAAGTAATTCATGATGAATAAGGGAAGAAATCAAATAGCAAAGATTACCATACAATCAGTCAATCTGGACAACTAAAGAAAGGACACGCAAATCTGGACGAAATCCAATCAACAAATCAATCAGCAAGAGCAACGACTAGCTGAGCTGAAGAGAATCAATCAAGCCTTAAGTTAAGGCACAAATCAAGGGCAGCATCACGGAAGATCGAAAGATATGAGAAGATTGGTACGCGACTAAGTTTGGAAGATCCAACAATCAAGGAGCAGTCTTCACTCGTATCTCTGCTGAAGGAAAGAAATCAACAAGTCGCAACGGCTCTCTACCTTATTCTTGGAAAGAATCAATTCTTTCCAAGGATCAAATCTCTTGGGTTGTCAAGCCTCTATCATCCATCAAATTATTTATACCCAGTCTTAAACCCTAGTCTCACATACTTTGATCTAACCAAAAATCACTCTCTTTTGTTCTACATGCAAACAAGCATTGTAGTTCACAAAGATCTGCTGTGTAACAAGTCAGGGAAAGAAAGAGAGCATAACACTGGTGAGACATTGTATCAAAAACGAGTGCTTTGAGAACTGTGTGCAAATTCACTACAACTGTACTCGGAGAAACACATTTACTAAAGAGAACTCCCTTGCAACCCAAGGGGACTGGACTAGGATTCACATTGAATCCGAACCAGTATAAAATCCTGGTGTCTTTAATTCCTGCCATTACTTCTCTGCAATTTACTTTCCCTTACTATATTTGCTGAATTATCATATCTAGTCGACTACTCAATTAATAAGTAAACTAATAAGCAATTAAGTTCAAATATCTACAATTCTCCACCCCCCCCCCCCCCCCTTGAACTTTCAAGTACTATAACCGTAATGTAGAAAATATATATATAAACAAATCGTTTAAAAGTTAATCGTGAAACTATCTACTAATAAGTATTCATCCGTAATCTATATATATACTCCTATAACATGACTGATGATGTGAAATTTTTTGACATAAATAAAACTTAAAATCATTTGTTACGTACCTTGGAATGTCATCTCATACTGGAAGAAGAAAGGGCCACCAAAGGAAGAAGCAATTATAAGGTTTAATTTGAGACTGACCACCGATGGTCGATTAGCTATTTTGATCGTTAATTAAGAAGCTCAAATGATGACTTTCTTATCATTTGAATCATTTATAAGAAGTTCAAATCACTATCCTATCAACTTTCACACATCAAAAACAAAACGAAGTTAATTGATGGTGGCCTGTGATACGTGTGTGAACATGATAACTCGTGAACAATATGACTGAAGAAGAAGATTGCCCTCAACATTAGATAATTTGTACTTTTGTAGTTATTTCTTGTACTCCATCATTTTCTATGACCTATTCAACATCTTTAAATTCATATGATTCAAGTGACTAATTACTGAAGAAGCCTGGATTGCTTGCCGTTTATTGAAATTGTTAATTAATATACACGTACCTTTATTCTATTGGTAAACGCAATTTGATATTAGTAGATATAGTAGAACTTGATATTGACAATTATTAAATAACCAAAGATCAGAGGATGAACACTCAAGTTTCAACATAATAGGTAGACCCTGGACCAAATTTATTCTTTGCATAGCCTTGACCTTAGCAAGATTTCAAGATAATCAAAATCAATTTGGACACTTAATAACTTGTAATATAGTATGCAAAATAATTCCTCAAAAAGAAAGAAATCAGCCTATTATTATTTGAGGAATCAAATAAGATTTTCTTTGATCATGTTTTTGCAAATAATTTTTAAAATATTTTAAATTATTAACTATGGTGACTTATTGTACTTTTTATAAAGTTTCTAAATACTAAATGTTATTTCAAAACTTAAAAGAATTTATGTTCAAATTCATACTGAAAATTCGTCAATTTGACATTCGTATTCTGAAAAGATTCAAATAAATTGAAATAGAGGGAGTATATGGCTTCCATGTTAAAAATTTAACATGAATCATCAAATATATCCGATATCATGTTGTAAAATACTTACATACATTATGATACACAAGAAAATCAATTTGAAAAAGAAAAAAAATAGTACTAGCTGTACTATAAAAGGATAAAGAAAACAGAAGAAAATTAAAGCTTCTCCAAACCTAGTCATCATGGGATTTGATTTAGTCTTCCATTGAAATAGATTTCTTACAATGAGCAATTGCAGCTTGTATAGCAGCCTGCAACTCTTCCATAGTACTATCACTTGAAGAAGAAGAAGAAGAAGAATTATATGCTCCAGGTGTTGTTACAAGAAGACCACTATTTGTGGGAGATGTTCTCATTGAAGCTGGTGCTGAATATAATTGCTCTTTCCTTCCATTAATCTCTTTACTCTTTCCTCTTAAACTTGATAAATTCCCAGAAAAAGAATAAGCTTGATTATGAAATTGCACATTCTTTCTGCTGCTGAAAGATAAAAGAGGCCTAACCATTCTTATGTACCTCTTCACAACTTGACTCATCATATCAAATTTTAGCTTCCTCCTTTCATGTGATCTCTCTTTGTTTTCCTTTTCTTCTTTAGCTTCATGTCCTTTTCTCCCTTTTGGTAGCCCAAACAAGGAAAAAGACTTAGCCTTTGGTTTTCCCTTAGATGTATAAGTAGTATCACAAGTGTCCTCATGATCTAATACTCTTTGATTCTTGGAATTTTGAACTTTTTGATCTTTTATTGGAAGAGTAAAACTATCCATTGAATTGGTGGAAGTGCGAGGGGAAATGGGGAGATGGGAAAGAAGGTGAAGAGGAAGTAAGTGGCCATGGAAGAAAATATCATCAGCTGGTGATAAATCTATGGCAAATGAAGAAGAAGAAGGTGGGATTTGTTTATTTATTTTATTATCTGCAGGTGATTTTGGTGTTTGTTGAAAGGAAATAGTGAATGAGAATTCATGTGAAGGAGATGATGAAGATGAAGGTGGTGGTGAGGTTGCAGTACTGCTACTGTCATTGTGAGGATCACTTTCTTGATTTCTCTGTTTCTCTTCTTTGTGGTTCATGTTTTGGTGTAATTGGCTGTCCATATGGATATATGTTATAGGGTAACAAATTGCTAGGAAGATCTAAGTTGGGGTGTTTCTCAAACTTCTTTTCAACTCTTTGTTTGAAGGGACAAAAAGAAATGATAATAAAAAAAAAAAGATAAGGATATGAGAAGAATGGGTCTTTCCTATGGTGAGAAGAGGGGGAGGTTACTTGTGTGTAACTAAAATGTCTTATGATAGTAAATGGACATAGTCAAAGGCGGAGTCAGGATTTCAATTTTATGGGTTTGAAATTTTAGAATGACGATTTTAAGCGTTAGTGACTGGGTTCTAAATTTAATATTTATACATATTTAATAAATTCTATACACCAAATACACTGTTTGAGCAAAAGCTATTGGGTTCGGTCGGAACCAGTATTTCGACTTATGCCTCCGCTCTTGTATATAGTTGAAGGATTTTTTTTTTTTTTTTTTGTTTCTTATCTAGTGTTTGATACTAGTATTATTGGTGCCCTCTAAAATCTGAATTCGCATCGAAAAATCTTACATTGGAGAATAAAGTGTTCCCTAATAAAAGCGGCTATCTATGACACAAATTCGAACTCTTTATTTAAGAACGAAGGAGTACTTATCATTTTACCACAATCGTAATTGGTGGACATAGTTGAAGGTTGGGCATGTGGTGGCTATGAATTTGAGATAGAAATTTATGTCAATGGCGTTGGGGTCTTTCTCATGTAAGCAGCTAAAGGTTCTAGTTTTTGGAAAAGAACACTGACAGAACAAAATCCAAGGTTTCCTAGCTTTTTTGCAATAATCCGTAGGTGAAACATATAAAAGTATAATGTACATACTAAATTATGGGTATCTGGTTTTTGACTTTATTTTCATAATACTCAATTGATTTCCCCATACAGCTACGTACGTACGTGAGAAGTCATGCTCACATATAAACATTCCTAAATGTCGTGCACTTACCACCCCCAAGTGTATTAAATAATTGAAATTTCTTCTGTTTTAACTGAAAATTTTGAGTTTGAACCTTGATAAAAAAAAAAAGCTTAGTCGTAGGAAATACTTTACCTTCGTAATAAAATGAGCTTATTCAGAGGATTTGAATTAGGCATGTTAGTAAATTTCAAATATCGAATGATTAAACCGAAAAGTGTTAAATGTCTGCACCATTCTCAATATGAATTTTTTATTTAATTTGATCAAATAGTTAGACTATTATCTTCCCACTTAGATATGGCAATTTCCTTGTCTTAATATTCTCTTTCTGCACGCAAATGACTTGGAAAAAGGTGCTTTATTATATGCCCTCTGTTAGACTAGGTAGCAGATATTCTCTTCTGTCACTAGCATAAGTTAACCCACTTCATTTAATACTTCTAGACTTTATGTACTTATAAATAGAGTATTTAACTACACTAAACAAAGCAATTATTGTTTTTATGTAAGAAGTTTACCAACTCTTTTTGGGTTTTTTATTCAAGATGATGAACTTAACTTTACTCGACGTAGTCTAATAATTTGAACTTGAATATAATTGGATATACCAAACTCCTCTTTCCGATATGTTACAAGTTACAACTTACAAACTTGACTTTTTCGAATTCTCTCAATAGTAATTGACCGTTCAAGCATGCCGAAAATATATTCATCGAATCCCAACACCTAATATTCAGTTACTACTATAATTTTTCAATGTTAAACATAATTGTTTGGGAGAAAAACAAGATCAGAAGCCACAAGCGTGAAAGGATTCTATGCAATGGTTACAGGTTAGGTAAATATAATGTTAAGACCCGCTTTGTCATATAAATGAAAGATAAGTAATCCCTCCGGTTTATAATAAGTGATCTTTTGGCTTTTTATTTTGGTCTAAAATAAGTATCTTTTTACATAATCAAGAACGAATTAATTTTATTTTTCCAAAGTTTGCCCTTATTTACATATCCCAATTTTGTCAAGTGGGTAATTTAGTAAATACATCTTTTTTTTTTCTAGGGGTTCGTATTTTCTTAAGGGGTGTGTCAAAGACAAAAAAGTCTATGTGGACCGAATGAAGTAAATACTTATTTATACTTGGTGTTTATATTAAACCAAGCAATTTAATTTTAGCAGTAAATATTTAAAGTAAAATACAAATCACTTAATTATGGTTAAATGACAGTGCATATGTTTACAAGATACAAATTTTTAGTGTATATATTCGATGCAAATAAAATATTACCCGGAGTGAATATTGTATCTTCTCTAAGTAATAAGAGTCTAAGAAAGTTGTGAATGTCCCAACTCAAATGGAAAATCTGTTTATAACACAAAGACAACCAATAGGGCTTTCAATGTGCGACTTTCAGAAGTCTTTCCTTAAGACTCTTGCTTTTCAATTCAGTTGAAAATTGCATAACAAACAGAAAGACGTAAGAAAATGAACTTGTTAATTGATGGAACTTGGTAGGTTTATATTACTTCAAAATGTTCGGTTTAGATTATTCGGAAATGACTAATTAATAGATATGAACTTGCAAAGAAAAAAAAAGAAGATATGAACTTGCATATTTTCATATCTGTCTCCAATATAATTTACCTACAATCTATCTCTCAGCCTCAGGGAACACGAAAAACATTGAAAATTCGTCAATTTTTTTTGTGTATATGCAAACAAAATAATTATTTTCAAAGCAGATCTTCCAGGACAAAGATTTTATATCAAATAAAATCGTTGAATTAACAAACTCCCTCCTTCTCAAAAAGTGATTTTTTATTTTTTAATTTTTACATAATTTCTGAATATGCAAATTTTACTTTAAAAAATATAAAGAATTTATGTCTGAATTGATACCGAAATTAGTCAATTTGATTCTTATACTTGTTTACCCTCGAATCCGGATAACAATTGAATTTATATGGGGTTTTAAGGATCCGTGAACTAAAAGATACAAAAGGCTTTTAGGTTGAGGGAAATAAAGATAAAGACTCAACAATTGCTGTTAAAGTAAATAATCGCAGAATATAATATTGCTTAGAACAATTGTGCTTGATCCTCTACAAGAATTTAGAGAGATCCCCATTTATACATTCTGATTAAGGGTAAAAATAAGGTAGGTAAATTGATTACATCGTGGATCCCTGTAATTACGCCTTAATGGCCTGAAGTGGTTGAGAAAATCACGTTTGGGCGAGATATCCGGCGACGCTTGGTCATCCGTTATGAGCCCGGCTTCCGACCTTGTGTGTTTCTCCATCCGGTGGTGATTCCTTTCGAGCTCTGTAACGGTCTCGAAATGACTCGACCTCGGTTGTAGACGTGGCCGTCGTTCTACCTTGCATCCAGGTCGGGTTCGATGGCCCCGACTTGCTCCGGACCGGATCCAACCCGGTCGGGCTCAAGCAAAAAAGGGTATCACCCAATACAATACTCTGTAAAAGTTCAAACAAATTGAAATAGAAAAAATAGTAAACGTACACATAAAGAGGAGTCTGCCTACATGCGTCAAACCATCGCATGTTGAATTAATTAATCTCCTATGGTCGAAGATTAACATAAATTGACATATCCCTGTAAAGAGGACTAAGCTTTGTTGGGTTCAAACACTTTTGCATTTAAACACGTGATTTTTTTTTTTTTCAAAAGGTTGTGGAACACAACACGTATTATGTACAGTTTTAAAAGTAAAACAGTTAAGTGTGAATTTATTGTTGGTATAAACTAAGACAAAAAAGAAACTAGAGCAACAGCACCGAGTTAAAGAAATATGATCGACAGATATACATATTAATAGCTCTAAATTAGATCAATTCTCTGCAATAAATAAGTTATTTGGACCACTAAAATAATAAAAATATTCGTATATAATCGCTCGTTCACAAGCTTTCCTAAGCTAAAATTGATCTATTTTCTCTGTTCGTTTGCTACTGCTTTCGGTTTGGGGTTAGGCAATAGGACCACACACGTGTACTAATAAGTGGTCCTTGTTAAGACCATGTTAAATGAACAGAATAATTTTGGCTGCTTAGTTAAGGTCAAGTATATCTCAATCATATAGGCGTTATTTGGAGGGATATACCATCTTCTTCTCCACTAGAACCACATTTAACTCACTCATACAAAGTATATATAAATCTAAGGATAAGAGATTAAAAAAAAAAAAGTTAGGGGGTGGAAAGAAAGAAAGGAGATTTGTAACAATAAAATTTTGTCTTATACCATGTTTCTTGCTTACTGTTTTGCTTTCTTTAGACTCTTTTTTTGTGTCTTTATTGGAAAAATGTTGCATCAAGTATTCAAGTGGCTTAGTGGGGGAAAATAGAAAAAGGAGGAAAGGTTCTCCCCACAAAGGATATTTGTGCTTTGACTGTGAACTCTTTGTTTTATACTATGTTTGTTTCTCCCTTTTCTCTCTTTCTATGCCCCACCCTCACACCCACCATACTTCTTCGCCTCTCTGACGACGGACTCAAAATTTGAGCGCGACGGGGCACCACTGTATGTTAATTACTAGTGATAAAATTCGTCGTGCACCTAGATGCTAATTATTGGCGATAAAATTCGGCGTGCAACTCTTTAAAAACTTAATGATTATGATCGATAACTTATCATCTAAATATTAAAAAAAAAGTTCTAAAGAAAGGAAAAGCATCGAACAGAGAGAGATTTTTCGCAAAATAGGTGCTACGGGAAGGAAAGGTGTTTGATTTAAGGTATTTCAAATATTAAAATTTCTAGTTTTTTCTTAATTAAAAAGGAGTCAATGATCAAAAGGGTGTTCAAACTTTAAAATTATCAAAAATTTACACACAAAAAATCAGATTAAGGGTGTGTTAGTAGTCAAGTTTGAAGAAGAGTCTCAAACTCTCAGTTGCCATCGTGGAGTCAGAGTTGATGATGCCCACTATTTTATCGAAGTGATTGTTGATGAAGGTTGTGTCACGACCCGGATTTTCCACCCTCGGAGTCGTGATGGCGCCTACTCGTAGAAGCTAGGCAAGCCACGAAATTTAGAAATCTTTAACCTTTTCATTTTTAACACTTTTAACTACTTGTAACAACAGGTGATCAATATTTAAACAGTAGCGGAAGATGAAATTAAGCGGCAGACTTAGATAAATATAATACCAAAATCGATACAAATAGCCAACATATGTCTCTACCCAGAAACCGGTGTCACAACATTCACGGACTGTCTATGATTACTACATACAAATGTCTGAAAGAAAGAAACTCAG